GCTCTGAGCAGCCCCCGCTGGGACTGCTGTAACAGTAGATACAGCCAGAGCGGTTATCCATCTGGCCCTCCCCCTACAATCCATCCCCCCCCCCATATCAGAGCTTTCCCCACACAATTCAAATGCGGCCTCGAGTTTCACTGTAACATAGATTATTTTTTGCTGCTGAAATATTTGCAGATGATATCATTTCACCTTTCAGCCATGGGCAGCTTTACATATATCCTGGAAGCCCGGAGGACCGAGTGTTCAATGCAAATACAGCCAATTTGTCTGCGTCAGGCTAAGTTTCAAACATAACCAGCATCCGGTGAAGCTTCGCCAGCCCTCATATTGCTCACAGCGTATTCGGTCACTGCTGAGTTCTCCCCTGAAGCTGCCGGCACTCGGACAGAAGGGCAGCGGGGGCCACATTGACGGCAGAGATGTTCCCTTAGCACCTGGTGCCCGTAGGCATGACAAAGGATAGACCAACTGCAGCGCTATTCATAAAACATGACACCTGTCCCTCGAACAGATGGATGCAGGGTTCTCCACCAGCGAGAGCCGCCACGCTCAAAGCCAGAACCACATTATCATCACACTGGAAAAAATATAAATGTATCAAAATCCACTATTGCTTAAATACACTATTGATATTTATTTAAATTTTTTTTATTGGATTTAAAATCTTGTAGTGTGATCGACAAGCTATTTTTGGCCCTTCAGCAGTGACTCCCAGGTCTTGAATAATTCTGAATGGGTGAGTTGTGAATTTTAAGTACAGAAATTTGTAGGCAGGCACACAAACACACAGACCGATAGCAGGCAGCCGCACACGATCTGACAGAAGCTGCCTTCCAGCCACTGAAAGTCACAGCCTCTGCTTAAAATCACGGCCTTTTAAAGTAAACAACCACGGCGTCTCGGTAACTGGTGACCTACAAATCCAAGAGCAGCTTATTAAAAAGAAATGCGAACAGATAGCTCATGTTTGCCAAGTCGAAATAATGGATAGACCCATCTGATCTGATGTGGCATGTTCCAGATTCACGACTCACTCAACTACAGACTAAGTACCACTGACACCTGTCGTACAACTTCAATAAATATCACCCTCGGAGTCCTTCTGTTTCTTGCAGAAGATCCAAAAGATCTCAGTAATATCGGTGTCTCTGCAAGAAAGATCCGTCGTCCCACCAAGGCCTGATTCATGACTCAGTCAGTGTAGAACAAGCTCACTGCTCCACAGGCAGAAGAACACGATGACTTCTCATTGTCGGCCATCACTAAAGCCTACTTCCTGGCTTAGATGCCAACCAAATGGCCCCCAGACTCCCATCTCTTCGTGGTTCCGGCATTAATCTCGTTTTCCGGGCTTCTCTCCCTCACCTTTGTCCGTCATTTTGGCCGCTTGGTCCTGCTGATCTCTCTCGTCACAGACCCCCCGACTGGCTAAGGCCCTCTGGGCTGTTTTTGGTCGCTCCTGCCCAGTCAGCAGTACTGCTGGCCTAATTATATCCGGCCAATTGTACACACCCCCCCCTCACCCCCCCAGGAGTCACCCAGACACACATACACATAGACACACGCAGACACACACAGGTTTGTAATCTTTGTGGGGACTCTCCATTCATTTCTATGGGGAAAACTCTAATCCCAACATGATGACCTTAACCGCTACCCAGCCCTACCCTGAAGCATAAGTAACCAAATTAAATATGAGACTTTTGGCATTTTTGCTTTTACGTTTGATTGCATTCATAGATCTTTGTGGGGGCCTGAAAAATGGTCCCCACAACGTCAAAAAAACTGGATTTTATTACATTGTGGGGGACATTATTTACAGCCTCACCTCGTACCATCTCTCAAACCTGTCAAATCTCGAACTCTCATAGATACCAAAATAACAAATTGCCTATTTAAAAGTGCAGTGCTGCAAGAGCAGTGAGTGATTCAGCAATTAGTCACACTTTGCTGAAAGGTAACAGATATGCAAACTGATGCCCACTGCTTCACTGCAATAAAACTGAAAGACAGGCCTGTGTTATAAATTGGCTAATTTGTCTACATCCTCTTGAACCTACAGGTCACGCAGATTCTGGTTCTGCTGTTCTATCTCTACCACACAAATGCAAATGCCTATGATTTTATCAGCTTGCTTTCAATTCTGGATATTTTGAGAACTTCACAATGTGCTGTTTACAGCCACCACTGATAGTAAAAATGTGAAGTTGTGGAGAGTTAACATTATTTGCTATAATAATGTTGTTGTTTTACACATTAGGACACAACCATCGTCATTATGAGAAGCATGCACAAATTTAGAAAATCTAGAAGCATAATCAAAGAGGTAGGTACAATGGCCTTCTACCTTCTGTCTGCATCCACTGTGTTATGTCCTCTGATAGGCTTAACTCTGAGTACAAGTGCTCACTCCCCGGCTCTTCCTGAGTGCTTTGGCCAATAGAAGAAGATGAAGTAGATGATGTCACGTCAGTGATCCCACCTCCTGGTTGCTCAGCTACGAGGAGTGTGTCTATGGTTTCCATGGCAACAGGAGAGCTTTCTCCAGCACATAAAACTGCAGAGCAGAACACATAGCATAGCAAACTCTCAACAAAAGTACAACACAAAGAAACTTTTCAGAAAACTTTCATAAAACACAAAAGCGAGTATGTCATTTCTACAATAAAGAGCAATATTGAAATGCATTTTGGACTGACAAATTTTATAGATTAAAGTGTTGTGATCATTTTATAGATGAAAGTGTGATGATCATTTAAAAAATCAATAAAACAATAAATTTAAACACAGGTGTATGTACCTATGTGTTTCAAATCCAAATCAACCTGTACAATGTCCTTGTAAATTTGTCAAAATTTTAATGAGGAATATCCAATCCCTCCGGAAGCCTTTGTGTTCCACACAAAGGCACAGAGTAACTATTAAGTAATTATTCAGTCATACTATAAATCACTTAAAAACATAGTATTTCTTAAACTCAACAAACACAGTTATCAACACAGAGTAAAATACCCATTTCAACTGCAATCATCTGAAAGGACATATTTTCCATAAGTTCTTTTTACTGAGAAATGACTGACTTACAAAACTATAATACTTGGTACTTTTGGTGCCAAACAAGCACCACCATTCAGGATTACACCATCTACCTGTCTGCATACCACCTTTCAGGAGCTGCCACGCTGTGAGCATTCGTGGTTTTCAGCTACGACACGGCTTCACACCTGATTCACAACTACTACCTCAAAGACAGCTGTGCTCACGCATACAGCTATTTATTAAATGAAGCATTGAAAAGGGTTTCATTTGAATTGCAGGTACTCCCCTTGTTACTCAGTACCAGGTGCAGGTACTCCCCTTGTTATTCAGTACTAGGTGCCGGTACTCCCCTTGTTATTCAGTACCAG